TCATCAATGTCTGTAAATGCCTGCAGGGAGGGGGCAAAGAGGACGGGGCCAGGCTCTTTCCAGTGGTGCCCAGTGACGGGACCAGAGGCAACAGGCACAAACTGGAACAGAGGAGGGTCTCCCTGAACATCAGGGAATCTTTTTGACCATGGGGGTGACCGAGCACTGGCACAGATTGCCCAGGGAGGGTGTGGAGTCTCCATCCTTGGAGATACTCAAAATCTGGCTGCACATGGACTTGGGCAGACTCTCTGCCACCCTGCAGGAGTAGGGAGGTTGGACCAAATGACCTCCAGAGACCCCTCCCAACCTCAGCCGCTCGGTGATTCTGTGAGTGCTCCGGAGCTGCCGAGGCAGAGGCGTTTGTGCCCGCAGTAGCGGAGTCACAGACTGACTGAGGTTGGAAGGGATCTCTGGAGGTCATCTGCTCCCACCGCCTGCTCAGGCAGGGATAGCATGAAGGGGTGGGGCAGAGTCAAGGGCAGGTGATTTTTCATGGCCAAATATAACAGTGCCCCCAGGGCTTTCTTGCTTTCGTTCTACTCTGTCCCTGCCGTGACATTCTTCTCAGCAGATTTATGCTGCCAAGACTTTCTGCCTCAAGGGAGAAGGGAGTCCTTGTGTTGAGCAGGTCCTGCTCCTGGAGTCCTTAGCATCCCCTTCTCCTTCCCCAAACCAGGGCATGGCAGAAGGCAGAGTCGAGTCTCCTTGTCCCAGCCAGGTGCTGTAAACACAGGCCTCCCCTTCCCAGATCTCTGTCCTCTCACCTAGGGCTTGGTGACTTCCCAGCTAAAGGCCGTGTTATCAAGGAGTCACGTTTTGAAGGTGTTCCCCAAAACTCAGATCATTTCACTTCCATTTCAGATGAGTTCAACCGAGTAATCATTCCAGTGAAGAGAGGTGAAGAGAACACAGACTACGTAAACGCTTCCTTCATTGATGTGAGTCTTCTTTAATCTTCTTTCCATTTTCTCCCAGTGGAAACTCTTTACCTCACGCTCCTTCCTATGGAAAGAATCTGTCCCGAGACACTTCTTGGTTTTGTGAGGCCCTTTCCACTTGACTTTGCTTTGTGTCACCGGACAATGCTGGTTTCTTTCTCCAAGAAACTCCTCTGTATATAGTTTCCTTATGGGAGAGGAGAGCTGGAGCTTGAGCAGAGCCTCCAAATTCTGATCTCACTTCTGCAGCTCCAGGCTCTGATGATGGCTTTGGAGAAGCGGATGCACGTAGCCATGGAAATGTTTGCTATAGTGCACTGTTCATTTGGTCAGAAAACATCCCCTAGATTAGGTAATAGACAAATATATGGATCCCAAACCCCTTGAGAATAACCAGGTCAATCCCATTATACCTGTCTGGGTGACGGGAGGAGACAAGGCAGAGAGGTTAAGTGTTTTCCTCACTTTGAGGAGGTAAGTGATTGCACATCCTTTTCCTGTGAGTAATCCTGTTGACTTCAAGGGGACATCTCCTAGGAGTATTTATGCAGTGATGCCAGTGCTGGCTAAGTAACAGAGCCCCCCTCTTTTCTAGCCCAGTTTCTGTCTCCTAATGGCAAGGGTTTTTTTTCCCCAAAAAGATGATTACTGCCATGGATTGAAACAGTAAAACCAGTGCATTCCCAGTTACAACATCCCAAATTAATTGCTCCCTGAAATCTTTGCTGGGTCCCTGCGGGTTCCTCTGGCTGCGTGAGCATCCAGCAGCCGCCTTGTTCTGCATCGAGATCAGAAAGCTTAAATGTCACATAAGCAATTTTCATTGAGGATTCAATTTCCTGCCTCTGCTGAACTTTGCTTAAATTATAAGCTCCAAATGACGAAGCATCTTTAGTCAGTCTGCAGCGAGGGCACAGGGGAACATCAGAGGGCTTTTTGGAAACAGAAGCTCTTTGTGGTTGTGGAAGAGACAAAAGTCAACCAGATTTACTACTGCTTTTCAGAGATTGTATCTCATAGAGTGGTTTGGCTTGGAAGGGACCTTAAAGATCACCTAGTTTCCACCTAGTTTTGCTTACTTCTTCCAATAATCCCCAGTACAAATCATACCTGAAGTACTTGGAGCTTAGGCAAAGCACTCAGACTTTGCAACATCGCTTAGGAGTGCTGGAAACCCAAATCTTTCTTCACCAAATGGATAAGGCCACACACACATAGGGGATGTGATCCTCCTCGAGCTGCATTTCTTTAAAAACAAAGGTCTTACCATGGTAAAGTGGTGGCTGATGGCACCTCAGCTGCCAAGCAGCGGTGCAGTGACGCCCGTGCATGGGGCCGCATCCCACAGCGAGAGCAGGTTGCTCTACCCAAGCTGGGGTCTTTCACATGGGCAGTCATGATGCTCCCAAAATTTAACTGAGCTTGGTAACCTGTGTCCAGGAGCATTCCTCCTGCTTCTCCCAGCATCCGGGCGCTGCCCATTCACCGCTAACCCCGTTTATCAAATCGCAGGGTTATCGCCAGAAGGATTCCTACATCGCCAGCCAAGGGCCGCTGCAGCACACGATAGAGGATTTCTGGAGGATGATCTGGGAGTGGAAATCCTGCTCCATAGTGATGCTAACGGAGCTGGAGGAGAGAGGCCAGGTGAGCGCCCAAGGATAGCTGCATTGAAGGACCAGAAAAATAAATCATAAAAATAAAACCACTGAAAATCTCCTGATGGCCTCAGCACTGCCAGTGCCACACACGCTGGGGGCTATTTCACTCCCTCTCTGTCAGGAAATGTATTTCAGCCTCTACTTCTAATGCAAAAAATCCAGTTGTTTGTAGACCCAGGGTGGGGAGATGGTGAATAAACCAACTTTAGACCCTTATTTCTCCAAGCACCTTCAGGTGCAGTGGGCAGCTCCTCTCTGAAGCAAGCCTGTGGGATCCCACCTGCTTCTGGGCAGCTGCCAGCCCCAGGAGAAGACTTCTTCTGTTCAAGCCCATGAGGAAAACTTGGTCTTCACCCTGTCTCGTGCTGTTATGCTTTCTCAGGAGAAGTGTGCCCAGTACTGGCCGTCTGACGGCTCCGTGTCCTATGGAGACATCACTGTGGAGCTGAAGAAAGAGGAAGAGTGTGAGAGCTACACGGTGCGGGACCTGCTGGTAACGAACACCCGGGTAAGACTCCAGCCTGCTCCTCTGGGGAGCTCTGGGTGCTCTTGGGTTTGGCTGTCATTAACCCTCACAGATGTTTGTGGTGCTTTGAGATTCCTCTTCCACGTACTGAACCTTCCCTCTGGCACCTTCAGCTCCATCATCTCCCCATCATCCCAAAGTAGCGTCCATCCCCTGCAATCCCACTGTATTCCCTACGCTTACCTCCCACCCCAAGGGTTCCTGTCCCACTAATGGCTTCCCATCCATCCTCTCTGCCCTGCTGTCAACCAGCAGCCCTCATTTTTAGGTGTTGGAATGGGCTGCCCAGGGCAGGGGGGGGCGTCCCCAGGATCCCTGGAGGGGTTGAAGAGTCGGGCTGAGCCAGCGCTGAGGGATCTGGGGGAGTTGGGAACGGTCAGGGTGAGGTTCATGGTTGGACTGGAGGAGCTTCAAGGGCTTTTCCAACTGGGGTGATTTTGGGATTCTGTGATCCTCCTCCTGCCTGGTCCCTGTGCCCACCACCCGGCCTCCCTCCTGCTCCCCGTCCCCCACATCCTGCCCTGCTCCATACCATGGGAACACCTCCCCTCCACAAGCCCTCAGCTTCCCTGCGCTGATCATTCTCCCAAAGCCCTGAGCTGGTGGGTTTCTTGGTACAGCTCTCCCACCAACTTACTGACCTCCAGCTCTGCTCCTCCACCAGGAAAACAAGAGCCGACAGATTCGGCAGTTTCATTTCCACGGATGGCCAGAAGTTGGGATCCCCGGGGATGGGAAGGGAATGATCAACATCATCGCGGCTGTGCAGAAGCAGCAGCAGCAGTCTGGCAACCACCCAATCACTGTGCACTGCAGGTGAGGCCTGGCTAGAGCAGGGTCTGGCCACCCCTCTGAGGGGACCTGCTCTACAAGGAGCTTGGGAGATGCTCAGAGGGCCCTCAGAAGACTTGGGCTGAGCAGGAGCAACCTGGGCAGATGTCGTATGGGGTCTTCCTGCTTGGCTAAGCAAAGAGGCTTCATTGTAGAGCATGTCCTAGCTAAACTGGGAGAGACTGGGGCAGGACCATTGGCTCCTCCAGTTCTCCAGTCGTTTCCTTAGGGATTGTGCCCTGAGCAAAGCCAACACAGGCAGGACAGGAGGTTTTCTTTACCTTTTGGTTTCTCATTGCCAGTGCCGGAGCAGGAAGAACAGGCACCTTCTGTGCGCTGAGCACTGTCCTGGAAAGGGTGAAGGCAGAAGGGATTCTCGACGTCTTTCAGACGGTGAAGAGTTTAAGACTACAGAGGCCGCATATGGTGCAGACACTGGTAAGAGCAGCACAGCACACCCCACGCTCCTCCTGCCACCCCGAGCCTCAGAATGGGCCGGGGACTCCCAACGTTGAGCAAAAACTTCCTTGGTTGAAGGTTTTCCGTCTCCATGAAAGAGAAGGGGATGGAGGTGGGTCAGGAGGTATCTCCCCTTCCTCTTGTTAGGACATCTGGAAGCGTGGAGCTTGGCTGGCTGAAGGCATCAAACCCCTTTTGAGCACTGACACAAGCTGCAGGAGCCTCCTTGGAGACATCCTCAGCCACCATATTCATGGGTTCCAGGAGCCTGGAATCCTGTCCTGGAGCAGCTGTGGCACAGGCTTGGGCACGCAGCCTGCCAGGAAGGGGAGAGGCAGGCAGGGCTGGAGGAGATCTTGCAAGAGGGCTCTGCAAGGATGCTCAGGGATTTAAAACAAAATCTTTCGGGGTCAAAATAGAACCTCAGAGAGGAAGGGGAAAGCAGACTTTCTTCTGCGTGGAAGGAGGGTGGGCGGCCAAGTTTTGGGGGCCATGAAGGAGGTGGGACATACTCACAGGTGGGAATTCAGTTCCTGCGCTGGAAGGAGGATGCCCGACCAGGTGTGGGCCCCACTTGCCACAGACCACAAAGCCTCAAATTCTGTCTCGGGTGGGAATTTTGTTGGCCTAACACTGTGCTCTCCCCGAATCCCACAGGAACAGTACGAATTCTGCTACAAGGTGGTGCAGGAATATATCGACGCCTTCTCAGACTACGCCAACTTCAAGTGAAGAAAAAAAAAAAAGATTTACAAACAAAATAACAGCCTGTATCAACTCTCCAGAAGAGAGATGGTATGACAATATTAATCCAAACATCACGCTATTTAATTCCCCAATAAAACATTGGAAAAAAAGGAGCCAACAGTATCTGCACTAACACTTTGCTACATATAAAATCTCCAGCTAATATGAAGCTTATGGTACCAACCTCTAAAACAGTTAAGATATATACACATATTTTTGGGGGCGGGGTATATTAACAAACAGAATATTACAAAATATTAAAGAAGGCAACTCTTCTGTCCTTTGTTTCGGGGCGTGGATTTTTTTTTTTTTTTTTTTTT